TTACGCTCATCATAGCATAGCTTTTTTTCACGGATTTATAGTGTGAGTTGAGTGTCTAGCCCTTCTTCTTTCTCCTTTTTCGGGAATACTGACGACTGACGTACATACAAATGGATAAATAGATTTCCCTCTGTGATTATCCTTCCCAGTAAGCAATTTTCCTTTCTCGCGCAGGATCTCTTTTTGGGATTCCTAGGCAAGCTTCGATTGCGTGAAGCATACCATAATACAAGTAAATACCAAACAATTTCATATCGTGTTAAGCAGTGGTCGCTAACTTTAGAAAGTTTATACACGTGTCATTCTATCATCTATCGTCTTTTATTACAGGAGGTAGAGTGCAGCTTTATTTTGAACAGTGTACATTTCAGATGTTAATATGGATTGTCTGTACATATATGTCACTAGCTGCTGCTTCGACAGATGACGCTCATTCAAATAAGGACGAGTGAGTCACATCATTTACACACATAATATATGTTTGTTCACACTGAAATGATAATAGCTGTCCTCAAGGCAAGTTGACGACTTGCTCGTTAAATACGGCTCGCTCGCTAATAGCATTGCATTATTGTACCACCAATAAAAGCAAAAAGTTTTGCGACATAAACTGGGAGTTTTTCCCAGATTTTTACTCCTTCAGTCAATTATTTGATCTCCATTGCTAAGGGCAATATTTCCTTATCTCACGAGCTTTCCTTGTCTCGTGAGCAACATGTTGATTCAATTTCTGCCAAAATTCGGGCTGAAGATAAAAAAGTTGGTATCATGCTGTTTTCCTCATAGACGTTGTTTTCTTCTCAAGGAAATGGTAGTCGCGGGGGTCCAGTTACAGAGAGGTTACGGTGTATAAGGCATTTTGGGGCATTACATCCCAGTACGGTTTTCGAATCTGCTGGTAAATTATCCTGTCCACCTGGAGAAAGTTACCGTTGTGCAGAAAGTAAGCGTGTCACAGGTCCATCACAATGCCACCTCCAGTACAACACACCTGAAAGAAACGACTCGACTTTCGACTTATTTGTGGGGTTATTTATTTATTAAATGTCCGAGAACGTGAGATTGTGAAATTCTGAAGTAATTATTAAAAGAATAATTAAATCATGAATGGATCAATCAAATCCTTTACCAACTTTATTCAACAACACGGAGATAATGAAGCACTTTGCCCTGAATTTGAAACCCCTTTGCCAACTCTATTCAACACCGCTGAGATAATGAAGCACCTTGTCCTGAATTTGTAAAAAGAAACCAGGGTTACGCATTAGCTTCCTCATGCTCATATTTGCATGAAATGTAAAGGTTCGCTCCCGCCAGGGATCAGGCTATCAAACGAAGCTTGGACCGCTCCCCTCTAGTTCCAGATGATACAAGTTTGAACAAGAAGTTGCAATTTTGGTTTAAATTTGAAAAAAGAGTTGCAGTCCATGCCAGTACTTTTACTCAAAAAATTATGTACTATGAGCGTGCCATTTTGCCGCAGCCTTAGATACTGTCGGCCCGTAAGAACTGGCGTTGTTTCCTAGTAGTAGGTCGAAATTTCGCGTTAAAGACCGAAGTTAAACAACTGAGTTCTACATTACCAACTAAGATTTTTTGCACCATAGAGCAATACGTTCAATTTTTTTGAAAACTCCTTTTCCACTCAATTTTAGTCACCTATATTTGAGTGTCAAGTCGACGATATCCTTTCCGACACCCTTTCTTTTTTGTGAATAGATAAAAAGGTGAAACCGCACAGGGCCATCCGACAAGTATGTCATGGGAAGAATGGGAAATTGCTAGAGGATATGGAGCTTCCACCTCCTCGTCAAGCATTGCTTCAACTGGTCTGACAAGGGAGGTCGTTCAGGGCGTGGTGAGCTTTTTCAAAATGGTCTTGTGCATATTGTAGGGGCACATACGAGGACCAGAAAACTGAGGTTCATTTTCGCTGCGCGCTTCTACGAATAAAAAAAACGTAAAAAATAGGTCGATGGTTCGGATCCCACCGAGGACAAAATTTTGCTTTTCTACAATTTTTCATTTTTTGGATCCATGTTTGTCTAAATAATTGGTCCTAACAAAAACATTCACGATAAACTGAACAATCCTACTTTTATGGAGCAAAACTGCTTTTTCGTTCGAATTCGTTAGTATGCACAGACTCAGCTCTTCGGCGCTATGCCGGTGCCAGATGGCACTGGAACCGAAAATAAAGTCTAGAATCGTGATCAGGACTGTCGATTACCCCTAGGAGCAAGTTTTGAGCGAAAATTTTTTTTGACTTTTTCGGGTTGTAGGTGGCCGACCATTTGGTCGGCAGTGTGAGCGGAGTCTCACATCTTCGTAACAGCGATGCGTATCGTTGACGCTACGGACCCCGGACAACCCAATAAGCAAACCCAAGAAGGTCAAAACAATTGTTTTGACCGAAAATTCGTTTTTAGTGGTAATCAGTGGCCCTGATCACAAATATAACACCTATTCTTGGCGTCCACGCAATTTGGCGACAGAATAGCGCTGAACGTTCCCTATATTGGTGTACATAACGAATTCAGTGGAAAGAAGATGTGGCCCCAAATTGTCTATAATTGACACCACACCAGAAGTTACTAAATTCGCAATCAGATCCACTGTATAGCCTATGAGGATCAACGTCCAGCAACAATCTTGTTCAATGGTGCGTGAAAATCGAAATAGTTGAATAGCACTGACTCATGAGTGCGGTCTAGCAGCGCTACTCAGAATGTAGTCCACTCACAGACGGGCGCAAATATCTCGCGTATATGCGTACTTGCGCAGACACTATGGTTTAGCGCAGAATAGCCTCCGAAACTGAACACAATGCAAAAAAGCCGCGACGGCAATGGGGGCCGCCCCGAACCTCAACCACCACCCTCACTTGTCGATGCCGAAGCCTCCACTCAAACGCCGCTAGCGGCATCGTGTTCGACTCTGCGCTTATAGCGCTCTCTAATGTGTGAACCCGATTGCCAGAAGCCGTTTACCTTGAGCGTCACTCGACCTAAAGTTGGGGTACAGCTCACTTGGCGGCGATTTTGCGTTCGTTTCGGCTTCAGAAATAAGCCCTTTATGAAGGACCCCCACTCAACAGATGCTCCGATCAAGTCTGCCAGTTGACCGTACGCCGTATAGAGGGCCAGAGCACGCAAAGCAGTTCAAAGAGTTTCAATGTGCGTGGAAAATCGAAATAATTGAATAGCAACTGACTGCACTGAGGTACCACGCTACCTCAAATGTGGCCCATAAATGGAAATAATCGCGAGTTATATCATGCGGCAGCAACCCCCTAATGGGAAGCAGAGAATAGCGAAAAGCCTGAGAAAAAAAAAAGTGCAAAAAAGCCGCGCGAACCGCCCAACGGGAGCCGAACCATCAAACCCCACCTAAGCAACCTGTCCGATTGGCGAAGCCTCACTCAACACCCCGTAGGGCATCCGATGCTCGAGTTAAGCGCTCTAAAATGTTGATAACGACTCATTGCAAGAAAAGCCCGTTTACCCGCTGAGCACAGTCGTTACTAAGTTGAAAGCTCAACGTATGTCCCAGGGGCGCTTTTTCGTTTCGGGCTGCAAGATAAAGCCTTTTAAAGGACCAGCCCACTTGACAAACCAACTGGGTTGCAAAGTTTCAAATGACCTACGCGTAATAGAGGCAGAGCGAAAGCAGATTCGCCAAAGATTTCTTTTCCAAATCTTTTCAACCTTCCTGAAGCGCACACGAGAAAATGAACAATCCACTTTTCAGCCTCTTGCCTGACCCCTTTACATCATAAAAACCGTTCTAAAAGGCAACCACGTCTAACGCGTCAAAACTCGCTTGTGAGAGTTTAAACTCGAATGGAATTATCAAAAAAATAAGCAGCACTGCCCAGAGAAGGCCGCGCGTAATTTTGCAACGGCCATATTCTCAGTCGCATAACTCTTTAATCGCTTTAACCGAAAGGGGAGGCAAGATAAGTACGTTTTAGGGCATTAATTTTTGCTTGTATACATCACATATTTGAGCTGCTCCTGCCTTCTGACAGCAAAGATTAAGTGCAAAAAGCTGGTGTCAAGAACTCTCATCCGACACTCCACTTTGATGAACTCAAATCTTACAACCAAGAAGGAATAAAAAACCGAGCATACTGCCTTGTACAGCAGAGAATTTTTCTTTGTAGAGCAGACTAGGAGAAGCTCTCACTGTCTGTTGAAAATTTTATACAACAAAAAACGCCACCACTCATAGGCCCCCAATATGTATATTGAATTCGAATTTGGGATCTTATTTCTTATTGGACCCCGAGGAATGCCTTTGCAAGTGAAACCAGGAGACCTAATGAATGACTTCCTTGTGAGCTTGTGCTGCATCTTTTGTAATTTCTCAACGAAATTTTTCCTTGTGTGAGTATTACACATACGCACCACACTTTGCAACAGACCACACGTAATCTTGTGAGAATTGTCGAGCAGTTTCGGGGTTTCGAAATGGAGGAGGCCCTCGTGAATGCACGTCGTGGGTAACCGAGTCCAAAAATAGGAGTGCATTTTGCTAGTTGACTTACTCAAGAAGAGAGCACGAAAAACCTCCCCAATAGGACCCTCTTTGATGCAGTTGATTGTGATCATCGGACGAGCATGGTGCGGTAATCAAAATGGTCAAAATCATTTATGATTTGCAAAAGTATTCCATCGTCGACAAGAGTGGAGCGAGACCCGATAGCGCAATGGTATTATTTGTCAAATGAAGCACGACAAATCGATGCATATTGCGGAGAACAAGACCATCTATGAACGATATGATCAATTACGTCGGCGCCTACCGGCACATAATTACGAAATTCACAGCTTGTTCAAGAAGTTAAGACGAATCAACTAGAGGAGATAAATATGAATAAAAAAGTTAGCGAAAAAATACCAGCAGAATCGAAACAACTGAGTATCTACGTCTGTGCAAGTCGCCGTAGTTGAGTAAGTAGCGGAAAATAACAATTTTTACAGCACAACATTATCACGTTACTTCAACGGCTTGTAGTATAGAAGAAGATCACCACCCTGTTTCCAAACAAAATGCTTTACTGATCGAAGATCCATGTCTGGATCGAGCTTTTGATCGTTACAGTAAAGCTCCATCTTTTGCTCAATATTGGTCGGAATCTGAACGGGCATAGGTGTCTCGCCCATTGCTGATTCTGGACTATTCAATATCTTCTCATACACATGTTCCATTACTTTACGAACTTGCAACATCTCAGTGGCAGAAAGGCGATCTTTTTTTGGCGTCTTCACATTCAAGCTAGCATGTGGCAGCAAATAAAAAGGCATCTTTGTGAATTTCGGAAGCATGCTTCTTTCAACAACTGCGGTAATCCATTCCGGCAAATCCTTGGCTAAGCAAGCCGATTCCGCCTCATTAGCAGCATCACGTACTAGCAGTCGTAGAACTGTGCGTCCGTTGACTTCCGATAGAATGATGGGAGTGTGACCCGGAATTGAAATATAGCCAGCCGTCGCCAGCGCTGTTTCGGATCCTTCTGCACCCATATCGCAGTTCTGGTAATGCTCGAACAGTGACCGAAGCATCATTCCACCATAGTTGATTTTGTTATCTGAATCCTCCACGCCAGCGTCCTTCGCAGATAACCAAGCCGAGAACACGTCTCCTTCTTCAAGCGTTATCTGTAGCATCCCGCTTTTGTAATCAACAGAGAACCAGCTCGGTACGAATACTTTCCTATTGTGTTCCAGTACCACGTCCTCGAACGGTCTCTTACCAAAATCAGCTACCTTCCTTCCTGCTAAGACGTCGTATAACCCTATGCAATCATCTGAATCCTTCGTTATCACATGGCGTTTGTCGTTCAAAACTCCAGCCTGTTTTATTGATGTTGCTCCCGGTGTCACAATATCTGGTGAACGATGTAAGGAGCTGATAGCGAGATGTGCAAAATCGTCTTCCATCTGACCATCACCGATCGATAACTGAGTATTCGAAGGTACAGGCCATCTTTTTATTGCGGAGTTCCACGTAGCTGACCAGATAGCTGTGGGATGGTCATGATCATCCAGCAGCAGCTTCTTCACAAACGCCTCCTCCTCGAACAAAAGATGACTTTGTGCAAAATCACAAATCGGTGTTCTAAAAACTCGTCTATCTCTGCCAGCGCTGTACACGAACGAGAAAGCATTGTCGGTCTGTAACGTCCAAACACCTTCCTGATGAACTAGACAAGTAGCAATACATCGCTGTTGTCCCAAATCCCATAACCGAACTGTAGCATCCGCGCTGGCCGAGAGACATTTTGTGCCATCAGGACTGATAACAACAGCTCGTATGTTCTCGGTGTGTCCCCGTAGCTTCATTATTTTCTGATACGTTCTGGGATCCCATATTCGAAACACCTTTTCCGTACTGCCGGACTATCACAGTTCCTGAATCATTCATCGCCAATGCATAAATACTATTCTTACAACCCATGAGAGACGAGGTGGTTACAGTATTGTTAGTAGTAGTAAGTTTCGTCAAGCAGGGCACATCGTTGGTTGGGGAATCCCCAACAGGGGGGTCGTATTTGGCCGCCAGGAGAGGGGGGGGGTCGTAGTGAGTGCGGCAGCCAGTAACGAGCAGCGCAAATTGTCAATGTGCTGAGTCCTGTACAACGAAACTTGCTTTGTAGAGAACTCGGATATGCAAAAAAATAGTACAAAACTTTCATTCCATCAAACATCCGAAATAACTGCAAATATTAATAAGTCGACATCATCCTCGTAGGTCCGTTGGTGACTAAACAGTACAAACAGTCAAACTCTGGTTCGCTGCAATGATATGGCGTGTCGCGGTCACGCTTGGCGCTGAGCCAACCTGTTTTTTTCTCGACACAGCGAAGGACTACCCAGATATCGTTTCATATCAGGACGTTTCCCAGCAGTTGTCCTCTCTCTAGTCGGAGTCAGGCCGATTGCAGAGAAGCGAATGTGCCAATGAGCCGTGACAGGGCATGTATCCATCATTACCGCAATGGAATAAACACTGTAAACAAGTGCACAGGCCTCGCCAATTTCGGTAACCCTCCCTGGAACCTTATAGACACATTTGCTCGCGTGAACAGACATTACGCACAAGTTGCACCATCCCATCACCTCTGCGCGGCCCTCAGTGCGCGGCGCACCAAAGTTGACGTGATCGCCTAAACGAACCCATATCCTGCCCCTGCTCCCAACCCACAGATACTTCTTACCAGTGCGTCTTCCTGGGCTATTTTCGAACACGCTCACTTGGAACGGTACACAGGAAACGGTTTTTCGCGCAGCTGGGAGTGTTCCTCAAGAAATCCCCATAGCGAGATCTCATGAATCCCGAGAGCTTCAGAAACAGTTTAAGAGTTTTCAGAAAGAGAAAATCTTCAAACACTCGGATCCGTTCTCAGATTTGTGAAATGTTGAGTTACAAAAAAATATATTGGTTCAAACCTGTTCAACTTAAACTTCAACCCTTCACTCCCCATGGAATCCCTATGGGCAGATTTCTCTGTGATTTTTGCGACCTTCAAAACGTTTCAGAAATGTTAGGAAGTGCAATCCCCTTCCTCTACATGAATAGGGCTTCCCTCCTCCCACAGGTCGCTTTGAGAAGTATTGTCCTTCAAGCCCCGCTACTTTGCGAAAATTCCGCTTTCCATCGGCTGTAAAATTGCGCCCGAACGATCTGCGGTCACATCTGCAATTACATGCGCTTCTGCTACCGTACTCCAATAATCGGGGTAATGCATTTTTACGGCGGTTTGTATAACTGTTACGTAGTGAGACAAGCCTAACTTTCTCTTTCCTCGCCCAATCTTGGAATAAGACGTTGTTTAACATGTCGGTCGGCTGATGGCGCCGCGTCCCAAGAGAGGATGAGTATTCACGCAGGTTAGACGAATGCTCACTGAATTAAACGCGGGAAATATATTGTTATTATTTACGCAAATGTGGCTTTCAACACGCCATGCGAAGAAGTTCATATCATAACGAGGTTTCTGCAATAATAGCGATGTAGACCCGTTTGTTTGTTTGGCAATCATCTCTGTATTGTCTTCCGTTATAGTCATGACCTTCAAGGTTCGTTCCATTAGTATGGCACCTTCCATAGCAAGTAGAAATGTTCATAGGGGCCGTTTCATAGTTTCAAAATTTAAGCGAAAAAAACCGAACGGGACTAAAAAGAAAAGGGGGGTCGGCGTACCCGAACGCACCAAAAAAAGGGTGGGGGTTCGTACACAGCGCTCGACCAAAATCCCATCGAATGCTGTGCCCTGCGTCAAGGTAGCTATGTCCCACAGGTAAATAGACTGGTCATATCCTGCACTAGCAGCACGTTCATGTTCTTTGGCGTATGCTAAGCAACTTACATAGTCCTTATGTGTGCGTAACGTTGACATACAGAAATGTTTTGTGGCATTCCAGACCTTCACCGTGGTGTCGTTAGAAGCTGACAACAAAAATCGTCCATTACAGCAAAGAATCAAGTCGTTGATCCAATCTGTATGATGTTCCATCGCTTGCACGAACGTTGCATGTTGCGGAACTGGAGGCATTCGTAATCGACGCACCTCCACTTCGATGTGACGGCCATGCTTCCTTCGTTCCAGCTGAAGGAACCTTCCATAAACGGATTATCGTATCATTTCCAGCAGAGAACAAACGATTTGTACTTGAGTCGTACTGGAGTGCAAATACGGCTGCACGATGGCGATTTTCGTTCTCATCCCGTATTACGAAGGAGACCTTCATCTTTGGTTTTCCACTCCCATTGACAGCTGCCATTGCACATCTCTCAAACAGTTACCGCGCGAGAAGCTTCATAACAACTCCTGATACTGGGTGTAAACCTATTATCGCGACAACACGAGGCAATGTAGGTCGGAGTGGCCTATTGAACTTCCATGGGCCTAAAACTTAAGCCTCCTACAAGTTCAAGCCTGTTCACAAGTTTTCGACTCTTCCATAAGGAATGGTACATCTACTGCGTTGCCTACCTGGTCATCATGTATTAGGTTGTCCGGAAAGTTCTCAGCGTTTTGTGCACCTATTTTTTGTACATTCACTGCTGATTAAAAACTCATTCTGCCTTGCTTCTCAGTAGCACATCCTGTAGAGAATTTCTTGCGCTATCTGATGGTATAATTGCCGTTTCACCATTGCTTGATAAACCCCCTTTTTTCAAGATTTTTTCAAGCATGTGAAAAGAGCACTTCGGACGATTTTTTTCTTCGACTATAAATTGGGGCAATCCGCAATCGAAACAGCTCAACAAATTAACCAGGTGTGGGGGCCCAATAGTGCTAGAGAAAACACTGTGCGGCAATGGTTAAACAAATTTCGTTCTGGAGATTTCAGCCTTGAAGATGAACCTCATAGCGGTCGACCTAAAGCAATATCTGACGAGGATTTTAGGGATTTTGGAGGCTGACCCATCCCAAACAGTTCGAGAGATTGCAGAAAAGCTAGGCGTTGGCAAATCCACTGTTGCAGATGGTCTGGAACGCATTGGGAAGGTGAAAAAACTCGACAATTGGGTGGCCCACAATTGAAGTGACCGGCACGTCTCGAGGTTCCTTCTGCATTGCTTTTGCGCAGCAGAAACGACCTGTTTTTGGACCGAATTGTCACCTGTGATGAAAAATGGGTCATGTATGATAACAGGAGACGTTCCGGACAGTGGTTGGATTTCGACGAACCACCGAGGTAATTTTCAAAGCCGAACCCTCACGAAAAAAAGATTCTGGTCACGGCTTGGTGGTCATCGGCTGGTGTGATCCACTATAACTTTTTATCACCAGGCCAAACCATCACAGCAGAACCCTACTGTGAAGAAATCGACGGAATGTACCGAAAATTTTGTCAGGTGCAGCCAACACTTGTCAAAAGAAAGGGTCCGATTCCTTTGCATGACAACGCCCGCCCACACGTTTCACAAATCACTATCCATAAATTGAACGAATTGGGGGTTGAAGTTCTACCTCAACCGCCATATTCTCCAGACCTTCCACCAACCGAATATTCCCTTTTCAAACATTTTCAGAACTTCCTTGCTGAAAAATACTTCATCAAACAGGACCAGGCAAAAAAGCCTTCGTGGATTTTGTGAATTTTCGACCACCCAGTTTTTTAATTTGATGGGATTTTCTCGACTGCTATCACATTGGCAAAAGTGTGCTGATTCGAATGGTGCCTATTTCGATTAAATCCGATGAGTATTAAAAAAGTTACGATCGTTTAAAGTGAAACACCCAAAACGCTGAGAACTTTCCGGACAACCTAATAATCTTTAAGCGAGCTGGAAAACGAAAAAAAACTTTTCCTCTTGCCTGTTGAACTAGATCCCTCAAGTGCTCCGCAGGAGTAATTTGAAATCTATAGGCGAGCCTAAGATTTTTTTTGACGGCTGAACCAAGCTTATCTGTAGGGACGAGCTCGTCGGACGATGCCGACATCTTGAATCAGCATAAACGTTAGTCAAACTTCAGCCAAATTGCTGCCTTATCCAAGGTATCAGAAAGGTTATTGTGTTAAAGAGACCAGGACCGCTAATGCGCCGTCCTGTCTCTTTAGCACAATAACCTCTTCTTCACGACTGATGTGTGAATTCAAAAAATTTGAAAAAAATGCTGTTTTCTTTTCAAATCCATCACTTTTTCCTCACAAAAAGGGTATATTCGGGAACATACTTTCTCAAACTGTCACTATCAGTAAGTTATAATAACCCAAAGCTTTTCCTTGTTGGTTGCTGGGAGTCAGGGTTTTGGGGTGGCGGTGCTTGCATGAAAACAAGCGAGATAGGTAGCCAGATTTAAACGGCTAGGGGGGCCTTTTGAATAGGAACAAATAAGGTTCCAGTGTTTTAGGATAAACAGAGATGTTCGAGACATCGCTGCATCTGACAGCCTTGAAAATAGCCAGTCCAATCAACCGAACTGAGATACGCGTTAATTCGCTAGTAATAAGTCTTACTTGCATCATATTTCCACGACAACTCATGCGCTCAAATGCCCAACCACACTAAAATTAACCGAGGCCTGATTGCTCATTGCAGCTGGTGTGGAAAATAAGGTTGCACGATTACATCAATAATAGAAGATCAAAAAAGCTTCCTTCTAGTCTTGGTTTGAACTAACTAGGTATAATTTTGAGTGATCACCATATCGAAGATGACTAAGCCAAACGGCCACTGGTGCGTTTCAGCTGGCCAGATTATTCTGTGTTGCATTTAGGTGTTCAATATACTCAATAAGTCTAAGAACTCATTCCCGGTTGTGTTGTCCCAAATCCCATAAACTCCTATAAACTTCGGGAATACCTCCGTGAAAAACGAGCACTGGAAATAAATTGCGTTCAACCGCACTACAATTCTGCCTCCTCTGACTTTAGGTATCTCGAATCTGAACATATCATGTGACGCTCAAATTTCAATTTTTAATTTCAATTTCAATTTTTCAAGTTTACTTTGGAACCTCAAACACGTTCGTGTCAAAACAACCATGACACTATCATTTGTGGCGAATGAGTCAGCAGAAGATGAGCAGTACTTTGCAAAGAGTGTATGTTACTTAAAAAACACCGAATCACGTTATTCGCAAATCGTGGAACACTTCAAGGTTTCCCGTGGAATGAGTAGTCACAGCTGGTACAGGATTTGCAATCACTGGTGATGCAACACCGTTCGAAGACGACGAAGTGCAGGATATAAGAGCCATCACTTGACTAGGAGTTTCAAAATTTTCAATGACAGGAGAAGATTCAGCCTGTGCTCCGAACAAAGTTACTGTGAGAAACGTGAGATGCGGACTTGGAAAAAACAGACAAGCACTATTGAACTATTCCTACCCCAAAAAACTCAAAAAAATTTTCGCTGAAACGTTGCCTATAGGTGTAATTCGATGCCCTGATCACGAATCACATTCGTTTCGAGCGCTGGCGTCATTTGGCGCCATTATGCGCCAATTTGGCGCCCACCACTTTTTCCACCAAAGTTGATGAAAACTTGCATATGGAGG